CCCCAAAACCCCAAAACCCCAAAACCCCGAATAAGAGTAAGAGCTAACGATAAGAATAATCTGAGATAATGAATTAAAATTATAAGAATAATTATTGATGTCAAGTTTTCAATCTTAATTTCTTTCATCTGTGCTTGGCCCGCAAGGGACTCAATCTATTGCTTAAGATGATCAATTTCTAAAGAAGCTCAACAGCATCATTAATACTTGCGAAACAGTAAAATAACTAAACTTATTATAATTAATATAGATAGATAAGTTGTGCTTGACTTGCAATAAGATTGCAATGGACTATCTTGCAACCAATAACTTTGATTAATGCTTTAAACTGCTTAAAAATTCTGAGAAGATACTAATAAACGAGCAGCATAGTATGACTAAAGAGTCAAGGAATAAGCTACTATCTTTGACATTCAATAATTTAGGATGTTATTACAAGAAGTAAATAGAGTGAAGCTTTTTTAATTTTTTAGAAAAGAAAAACCGAATGTAGCACTATTTTATTTGAAAAGCTCTCTTGAGCTTGAAGAAGCAGATCCAACTACTGAAAAATTAAACTTAGCTGGTACTCACTTGAACCTTTGCGCAATCTACTCTAAACTAGTGAAGCATCCAGAGTCAATAAAACATGCTAAGTTTGCCATCAAAATATTGGAAGAGTTGATTTAGCTAAGAGAAAGTCATAAAGCAGCAGCTGCATTGTTACTTTAACAACAATAACAATAATAATTAACCTAATAACAAAATTAAACTTAAGAAGAACAAAAAAGAGTCTAATTTGATGAGTAAAATCTAAACCAAACGAACTAATAAAAAACTAAAGAATAAAAGGAGGAAGAACTTAAATAGAAGTAGGAAGAAAATAATTTATATTTGACAGAGGCTATTGCCTATTATAATCTTGGTGCTTCTTATGAACATATTCTTAAGGTTGAATAGGCCGTTAAATCCTACCAAATAGCTTAGTAGATATATAAAATTCATTTAGGTGATAACCACCCTCTTAGCATAACTATTGAGGAAAGCTTGAGAAAAGCTTAAGAAAAGAAGAAATTTTCTGAGACTTCTCATATTATTAGATAATTTATGAGAAAAGAAAAAGCAACTACGAATATCTTTAAAAACAGTAACGTTGCAGTCATGTTTAAAAGAATAAAAAAGCAAAGTTAAATGACACTTTTTAGTCAAGAAAATGATGCTTAGAATTTCTAATCGATAGACACTAAGGCCAAATTATTTAATAATAAAAGAGTAAACACTTCCTAGTAGAACAGACCTGTTAAAATCTTAAATAGGACTCAAGCTAATACAATGAATAACTCCCTTGCAGATATCAATTCCGTCCTTAACTAAGAGACCATATTTAGTGATAATATTGATGACTAACTTAAAAGCAACAACATTATGGCAATCAGTAGTCTAAATAATACTATATAGGTTTAGAGCCCACTGTAGTTTAAATTAAAAGGGCCTTAACATCACAGATTAAGATCATTAGATGGAGTATAAGATGCAAGACATTACGAAACAAACACTGTAAATAATAGTGTCATAAAAAAGCACAGGAATAATACCAGCTTTGACTATGACTACAATACTATAGGGGTTAGAGTAAAGAAACCCTCTACTGCTAACTAAGCAATTAGAAGCAGATCCTATAAGAATAACAACATATCACAAAATGTTAGGACTCATCAGAGAATGAGCAGTTAAACAGGATATCCTTACGAAAATGAAAGATCTGAAATACTTCAATCTTAAAATGGTCAGAGACCTTAGCTCATTCAGCCTCTCAGCATGTATTCAAATTATAGATAGCCAAGACTACTTATGGATCTTGAAAATTTCAGATTTAATTAGTTTTCTCCATAGAGAGTTGATGGATTGCCAGAGGATAAGAGCTTATCTAGACTTAACAAGAGATTGAAGACTTTGGAAGTTCAAGTGTCTAATCAGTTAAATTAGTGAATAGAACGACTTAATTGATGATTAAATTTATTCTATTTATTTAATTATTAAGCAAACGTTAAGCTGACTGAATACCTTCACACATAATTCTCAGAAACAATCAGCAATATGAGAGCAGTCCAGCCTGTAAAAGGCTTAGTGAAAGTTCCAACTCCTGATTCATTATCATATTACTCCCAAAATAAGTGATTTTAACTCCAATTTTTATAAACTGTCTATATCAATCTTTGTCTTATAATTTGGTATAACTCCGACTGAGTCTAAATCTATGGATCTACTTTGTACTATGGTATTTGATTGATTATTGTTTCATCAGATTGATAGAATTTGAAAAGACCTCTGAGGACTAGATAGTTAACATTTATCCAAATTGCTCCTCGCCAGTAGTTTGATCCATATTGATAAAATTGGTCCATTTTAGACAGACTCCTGATTCCACTGTTACTAAGCATTTTAGTTGGATCTCCAAGTAAAGATAGGTGATTATGTAAGGTTTAATTATCATTCACAAGTCCAAACATTATTGGCCAGAAATTTATGATACCCTCATGAACTGAGTAAGAATTACCTAGCTGAGTATTGTAATCATCATCAATAGATCTGAATTGTTCACACCTACTGCAAGAACAATCTGGATCTGGAATACAGTTTTCATCAATACAGCATCTTGCATTGTTTTTAAATTCATCATTAGAATAGGGATGATTGCACTTGGCGGGTTGTTTTAGGGAATTCATTGCATTTTCACCGCATTTCAAATCAATTCTCCATTCTATTTTCTCTGCATATCCTCCGTTTTTAAGTAATATTGGCTCAAATTACAGCCCCAAATAATCAGCATATAAGTTTGTATTTGGATTCAACAATTTTTCATGCAACTCCTCTTCAATTCTCTTTGCATTAAATTGATACTTAACGCTGCTCTTTTGATCCTCAGCTAGTGTAGCATAAAGTGACATAAATTTTGAAAACTCAACCATCCATGACTGTAAGTCTAAGTGAATTTCATATCCTTCATTAACTATAAAGCCTCTTGGGTAATCATCTAATCCAGAAGGGAAATTTTCCTATGAAGTTCTACCTCTCCACGAAAAATTGAAAGGCATTGATGGATTTTCTTAGCTCTTAAAAAACCATTAATACCAAGTTTACCATTTTTGGTAAAGTGTTGAAACGAAAAAAGTAATCTTTTTATCTCCCTTTTAAGCCTCTTGAAGCAAGAATTTCATAGGAAACATCATTGATGGAGGATTAGCAACCTTTGGATCTTAGACTATAAATTCTCTTGGAACATTACTTTCAGCCTCTGGTCCTCTAATTTATTCTCTAGGAATCCAACCATTAGATTTCATTGAATTAAACCAATGAGAAAGTATGTCCATGCACAACAACTTTGACCATTGGCAAGTTAGAGTCAAATGAAATCCCTCATCCCACAAGAAGCCCCTTGGAAATCTCGATCTTGATGGTGAACCTGTGAATAATTCTGCAGGCTCATCATAGCTAGATCCTCTATTTCTATCTCTAATAAGAACTGGGCCGTAGTAATATCCAATACCACCTAGCAAATTTGATAGCGCTTCTTTAGAGAATTGTAACCCTTTTTCTTTAAACTAGTTGAGAATCGGATCATTATCGAATCTCTCTTAATTTAATTTGAAAACACTAGCAAATTTGTTATCAAAAGACTTTCTCTTAATCTGCATCTGTAATTTAAAGTCATCTATTAACTCTGATTCTGACTTTCTCATCAAGAAACTGTCTGTGTGTACATCATCTATCTCAGAGTATCTCTTTTTCTTGTATGAAATGAAAAAGGAAGACTCTTTCTTTATTTTAGGTAATCTCATAATTACAAAATTAGCGTTCTCCTGATATTGTTATCCTCCTAATAAGATTTCTCTCATATTATTACGAAAGAGCGATTCAACATTCCAAATCTATTCCTCTTCTACATGAACACCCATAACAGTAGATCCATTCACATTTTCACCAATATTCATGAATTCAAAATATTCATTATAGTTATCTGGAAGGTTTCTGACAATCTTTAAGACATGTGTTTGATCTTTATGAATAGGATGAGATTTTTACTAAGGCTTTATTCCTCCTTTGATTGATGATAAATATATAAATGGTACCATTCCAAGTATCTTCTTAGGATTGATTCTTTATATACTGATTAATGCTTGCCAAGAGCTTTCTACATTTTCATTGTCATCTAATTTGACTTATTTAGTGAACTCTATCTCTATTCTTGCATTCTCTCTTGGATCTTCTATCACTTATTTGCTAGAACTCCATCCATCATGGAATTCATAGTATGCAATCTCGCCATTGTTACTCTCATATTTATAACTATGTTTTACATCAAATTCACCCTTCTTCATACCAGGTACTACCCAGGCCATTCCTACTGTAATAGGCTCAGGATCTCTATTTTTTATTCCAAAAAATTAATTTGGCTTGTAAGTGCCCCATTCCATAGTGGCATTATACTATTCATCATGCACATAGCCATCTTTATAGTGATTGTCAAGATCTAGGAGTTTGGGACGAACAAAAAATATGCTAGATATACATATCAAACCAAAGCTTACAATTTTTATCATTTGCTTGTTAATATTATCTTATACTTGTTATAGGGAAATATTATTAATCATACTGTAATATTTAATATTAAAGTTTTTAATGGAACCAGGTCAAATCATTTTACCAAACATTCTTGTGACAGGCACTCCAGGAGTTGGAAAGACCTCCTTGTGTACTCTTTTAGAAAATCAATTAGCAGAAGAATATGACTTGAAGGGATTTTAATATGTCAAGCTTACTGATTTGATCCAACAGAAGAAGTTATATAAGAAATGGAATGAGGAATTTGATGTTCCTGAATTTGATGAAGACATGGTATGTGATGAACTTGAGCCTTTAATGAGCCAATAAGGGGGCATTATTTTGGAATTCCACTCTTGTGATTTCTTTCCAGAGAGATGGTTCCAGCTAGTAGTCCTCCTTAGATGCAATAATACCGAGTTATTTGACAGACTTCAGGCTAGAGGCTATAATGAAAAGAAGATCACTGAAAATATAGAGTGCGAGATACTTGATGTTCTCAAGGAAGAGGTTGATTCAAGTTATAAATAAGAAGTCATTCTTGAGTTGCAATCTGAAAAAATTGAAGACATGCAGCAAAATTTAGAGGCGATCGCAGCAAGGATTAAATAATTAGTAGGCAATTAATGACACTCTAATATTTATTAATTAAAATAATTTATTTATTCAGCTGGGGTTTTGGGGTTTTGGGGTTTTGGGG